GACTGCCCAACCTGCTTCACTGGGTGACCAGCTCTTGTTTCAAAAATCAATTTCCTAGTGCACAGGATCTGAGATTTTAGACCCTGTCTCTCTTTCCAGCCATCACTTTGGACACTGATGAGGATTCTCATCACTGTCCAGTCTCAATTTGCCAAGATGATAATTGTGATGGGAGAATAGCCATGTCTGTGGGCCTTGCCTTATGTTCCCCAAAACCATCTCTTTAGGATGTGCCAGTGTAAGTCTTTCAAAATCAGAAATTTTACTCATCTCTGAAGGACTTGATGATCTATGGATGAAAACTGCTACCTACATACTAAGGACTAGAATTATTTATTGTTATTTGTGTAGGAGCCTGTTCAGTTACTCGTGTAAAGCACATACCCTAAATAAGCATCAGCACCTGTAGAAAGGCTTTCAGAGATTGGCACAGACACATTCCAAGTCCTCCAAGGAGAAAATTGTGGTTTTGTGAGATATATTGGATAAACATTTTCTATTCATATATAGTATCTATAATGTCTGTAAGTCCAGAGTACACTTACATTAAATGGGCTTTGTGGTTAATTCAATGCTTTAACTTTGTTTCAGCATTTAATCACCAGCAAAAGCTGATTATTGCTTTGTGCCACAGAATAAAACTGGGTTTTATGGAGAGATTCTTGTACTCAGGTTACTTACTCCTGTGGTTACTCTGTAGAAGCTATTCTGTACTCAGCTGTAGCTCACAATTCAGTTTGGTCATTAGAGCCTGGTTTATTGGGAGAGGAAATGTTGATATCATTACACTGTTGACTGTATTACATTATTGTTTAAATGTAAGCTGAAAAATGTCTCATACTACAGTTATGATAAATCTTTCTTTGGCATCCAACTTTAAAACAAACCTGAAGCAACTGTGAAAATAACAGTGGGTATATGTTTTAAACAGAAGACTCTTTTTTATAATTGTGTTCTATTTTTAGGATTTTGAATTAGAATACCACTGGCTTCTGCATAATTTGATAGGGCGTAATAGGACTGTGCCAAAAGGACATGCAAATCATTAGTTTCAGATTAGTTTGTGATCAGTTGGTATAGAAATAGAAATTTAGAAATTAAAAGAAGAACTAGATTGTCTACGAAATAGCAAATTAAATCTGTAGGGTATGCTCTGTTTAAAAAAAAAAAAATAGTCAGAATCTTTCCCAAGAGTTGCAGGAAACCTCCATGAAGAAACTTGGAGGCATTGCATCAGAGTTGGAGAGCAGTCTCTGCACCACACAAGAGGCCAGCATTCTGCTGGGGAAAAAGTTATATGCTCTTTTTGCTCAGGCACCAAAATCATCAAATGTTAAGCAGGGCCTGCCCAGCTTGTCCTGGAATTGTGTCCCTGGTAACCCAGGCACCTGGTGGATTGGTTTTGCTGGTAAGCAGTGCATCAATACCTTGGCATACCCCAACTGCAGAGGAAGTAAACCTCACCCCAATTTAAAGTCATGAGAGCTAGAGTAGGACAGAGGAAATGTTAAGACCTTTGGGTCCATGTACTCAGTAACTGAGGAGGTGACATATTGAGAGCCAACAGCTGCTCAGTCTCAGAAGTGACTCAGTCTCTATGGAGCAGGGATTCAAAGGCCCCTGGTTTTGGTATTCCTGGTCAATAAACTGAGGCAGCACAACAGGGTAAGGGCCCAGCATCCCTGAAAGTCCCACCTGGAGCCAAGCTGGCCACAGAGTGTTAAGCCAAGGAGAGCATGTTTCATAGCGCAGGGCACAATGCTGGTTTTGATGGTCTCCTCTGATGCAGTACCCAGGAGCAACCAGTTCTTGGTGTCTGTCACTGGAGCACTAAGATGGCAAAGTCATCTAAGCAGAAATAGCAGCGCCATTTGCAAGCATTCAGGTGGCAGTGGGGCTGCTGGAAAGGGTGGTGGCAGGCAGTCAGACGTCCCACCTCTCCACCTCAGCAGGGGCGTCTGCCCTGCCAGCCCAGCAGTGTCTGGCATCCACTGACCTGGCAGGTGTAGGGTCAGGCAGGAGGGGTGCATGGGTACCCCGTGAATTTCTCTGCTCTTCTTCCAGTGAAATGGTGCATTCACTCATCACTTTGAGATGTGACTCAGCTGGTCACTACCAGCCTCTGACTATAAGTTGTTGATATCTATGGCTATTTCAGTAGTATCTTTTGCACCTTTTTTTCTCATTTAAAATAGGTTTATAAAGTCAATACAGCCCTTTATAACACTGACGAAGAAAAGTTAATTTATCATGAACTAATGTGAATGCTAAAATCTCATTTTTTTATTATTATTATTATTGTAATTTACAGGCTGTGTTTTCTCCATTTTCATGCTGGCACTCACTATTGCTATAATCTGTTACTTAAAAAATGATCCAGTATATGTGTACCTGTTTGTAAATTAGACTTTCATATCTCTGCCAATATGTCCTAATGTACTAACATAAAACCATGTAAGAGTTGTTCTTTAGTTTATGCTTTTAAGCCAGTTGCATGTCACTACTTTTGGCACTGCTATTTTTATGAATAATTACTGGTCTGTGAATTTCTTTTGTAGAATTATACATGATCTTTTATTTTGTCATTACTGAACTTTCTGTCATTCAAAAGACTGTGAAGTGCTCTTAATTGTGCAAACTGACATTTTGTATATAGATGAACAACAGCTAGGTTCTACTTTAATAGTTAATATCCATCATTCGGGCTTCTAAATTGACTAAGGTATCTTGCGAATTTCTGAGCAAGAAAATTGAAACTTCATTATTTTAGTAATCTAACATCTTAAATGTATTTTGTATTTCAAGGATGCAATAAAAAGGAATATATCTATTTTAATATTGAATGACTGTCCATGGTATTTTTTCCAGCTTATGATTACACTTTTCTCACAGATTCACAACTATTGCTCTGATTTTTCAATTATTGTTTCAACATACTGCATTTTTCTGTTACTTGATCTTGAAAGATATTTCTGTAAGAAAAAAGCCCAAACCTTTAATTCAGCACTGACATAAAGCAACTCTTTTGAATTTAGGAAATTATCAAGTCTAGTTTTTATCCCCCCATTAAACATAAGCACGTTCTCATCAGATGAGGAAAAAAAACTGGTACATCTGATTCCTAGGACAGTATTAAAATTAGTATAAAGATCTGCAATCCACTAGCTATTCCTAAATACAGCTCTTAGGCTTTTCCCTTTGCAAACCTCTTTGTAGTACAAGATGTACTACCTAGTGTAAAATATTCTGTCTTCTCAGATCATTCATTTTAAAAGGGGAAATGAATGAAATTGCTACAATATACAGCACTGCACCAGCAAAGCACAACTTGACTTTTCTAGGTATCGCTGTAGCTACTGAGTTCTACGAGTAGGTGTTTAATACCAAGGTTGTACCCTAAAGACATCAGTGTTTCTTCATTCCTTCATGCAGAAACGCTTGTCAGGTATGTCTGCGAGGGTTGTTGAAGATATGTCCTAGAGAAGACAGATTTGCAGCATTTTTCTGGGTTTGATAAATGTGTAACTGTGGAATTGTTTTAACTCCAGGCTATATTAGAAGTTACTAAAGTTTATAAAGTAAAAAGTGGCATTGTTTTAGATCTTAGAAGGGGACATTTCTGAGTGAGCTTTCCATAATGGTCTGAAAGATAGCTTGGCAGGGAGAAATTAATTAGATCTCTTAACATTGTATTTTATCTAATATTTGGTTTGATACTAGGTACTTTCTTACCATTAGTTGCATTGCACTGTATTTTAAAATTATTCAAGGCATTAATTTATACATGACATATGCTTAACTCATGTGAGTAGAGCTATTCTATCAGACTGTAGAAAATTAAGTATTTTCCTGCCTATTGCCTAAACCTGTGTCTAGGTACCCTGGCCACATACCCTCAACATATCAGAAAAATAATCTCATTAGAAAAACACCCCTATGCTTATGAAAGTATTGTGATCCTTAAGTTATTGTCTATATAAATAGTAATATAAAGAAACGGTTGCTGCATATATTTAAAAAAAAAAAGGAAAAAAAAAAAGGAGACAATGTCCCATTTTCATTTAAAACCAAGAAACTGTAGTGGGATCTTGATCCTCATACAAATCAGTACTATGCCTACATAGCCTGTTCTATACATCAGCCTTGCCTGGGATCTCAGGTACTGAGGCTGTGTGAGTCCATCATTCATAACAGCAGAAATGTGCTTGTCTTCAAAACTATTTACACCAAAATAAATAATCAAAGGAAGTCTGAGCTTCAGCTGTTCTTGCTAGAAGCCTTGCAGGATTCTGTCTTTAAAGGTTTGTTAAAGCAATTTTGATGTGTTGGCTGTGTTTTTTTCCCCCAAAACCAGCAGTTATGAGTACGGCAAAGTTGAATAAAAGTCTTAAGTTTTGGCTACAGGGAGAGTAAAAGTCAGTAAGCAAGCACCCTGTGATGACTTTTGACAGTGACTTCTTTCCTATCAGTTCATCTTTCCAAATACCTCTTTCTTCCAAATAGTTTAGTCGCTAGCTAACCTCCTACAGGCAGCAAGTCTTTCACTGTCTGATTTCCATCTTGTGAGCCAGTGAATCGCCTCTCTTCGCAACGTATCTTTCAGTTGCTTTCTAAAAATGAATTCTTTACAGCAGCTTCTCACAAAACCGGCATCGCAGGTGGCTGCAGCTGGGAGAAGTGCCGCCTCGCTAAAGCTTTGAACCTGAAAAGCGGATGGCCATTAGATGAGCTCGGGGTTGAAGCACGGGGGGACGCCGGCGCTTCGGGATGGCTCCGCTACGGGATGCCCTCGGCCCGCGGCGGCGTCAGGAACCCGCACCCTCTCCCGCCCGACCGCTGCCCGCCGGGCTCCCGGCGGCGCTTGGGCTTCCTGCGCTCCCACCGGCCCCCGACAAAATCAGGGGAGAGGGAGAGTGAGGAAAGACTCCTACCGCCCCTTCCTAAAACCAACCCGAGCTTTCAGGGATGCTGCAGTGGTACAAGGGGACGGGACCCTGAGGAGGTTCCTAGGGAAGCGGTCCGGGTGTTCGGTGAGTTTGGAGGGCTTCGGCTGGTGGAGAGGAGGTTTACTCTGGAAAGGCGATTGTTTGCCCCTAATCCTCAATTATGAGGATTTAAAAACAGTATTAGAGGGGCAATCTGTTCTGCAACTTCTCGGAAGAAATAATTGTTGATTTAGATAAGCACTGATCCCTTCAGTGTTTGATGAAGACGTTAATTTATGGCTGTCTAGCAGTTTATGGCGGTCATTAGATTTTCAGCTTTGTCTCTGTTCGAAATGTATCTTTATTTTTTATTTTAATCTGAGACAATTATGTAAGAAAACGGTTATCTTTGATCTAAAATACATCATTTTCCTATAGCATTTCAAATTATTCACAGATCATAGTTCTTATATGTGCATATATGAATTTAAAAATACAGCAGTAAAGTGCTTGAAACAGACCATAAATTTGCTTCCTATTTTATTACACGTCTCTGAATCAGGTTGAGAGGACAAGGGCAACTAGGGGCTTGGGGAAGGATTTAACCCTTCCCGAGGCTGGAGAACCAACCGAACCAGAGCAAATTCCCCTCCGGAGCGCTTCGGGGATGTGCAGGGGGCGGGCTGGGTGACACCGAGCTGATGGGTGACCACGGGGAAATGGGACTGGCTTCAGCTCTTTGCTCATTTAGCAGATGTCCCTTCTGCGACGTATTTGGCTGGTAGGAGCCCCGAGTCGGGCCGGGGGCCGGGACAGGCACGCCGGCTCCCGCTCCCGGCAGCGGGTCCCACCTTAGCCCCTGCTCCGGCGGGATGGCAAGAGTCTTAACCCCTGCGGCGCCTGCCTCAGCCAAGAGCAATACTCCACGGAGAACCTCTGTTACGCCTCCGATAGGCTCCTTTAGCGCCGGAGCCTTCCCAGGCGCCGGACGGGCCCCGGCGGGCAGCAGCGACCCCGCGGAGCGGGAGAGAGGCGGGGGCCGGGACCGGCGCGGAGCCCAGAGCGACTTCCCCAAAGTTTTGTCCCGCTCCGATAAGGACCTGTTCCGCCGTTTGCTTACAGCCTCGGGATCCCTTCTGCCTGTGGGCAGTGGCGGTGCAATCACAGTTACAAATGATCCTGGAGAGAGTCGCAGAGTCCTGGCTCCTCTATTTTACCCCGCAATAACCCCCCCACGCCACCACCAAAAAAAAAAAAAAAAAAAAAAAAAAAAAAAAGTGTTAATTGCTGTAAAGTTTCCCAGCACGTGGATAATTTACTTTGACTGCTGCGTTTTAATTAAAAGCAAACTTATTTATGTTTCTGATGTTTATATTACGCGATTTAATTACGTTTAGAGGCAGCGTCGCACTTTTTTTCCCCCTTCCTCCCTAAATCACATTTTCATTAAAGGTTTTAATAAGAAAACTCACTTGACCACTATTCATTATCTAGTCCCCTCCATGCACACAAGTTCACTTACCCATTCATTTATTCACTTACTCATTCCAGCAGATCCGCTGCAACTGCTGCTAGCAGGGATGTGAACACTCATAATTATTTGTCAAAGTCTGGAAAGTGTATTATCCCTTCTTCTAGTGGTAATTAGTTACCATAGCATCTAATACGTAAATGTGCCCAGAGCACACCATTAACAGTTAAGCGGAGGATTCAATTTAACACATGATTATATCTTTCATAAGTCATTACATTAGGAAAGCCAATGTCACTCATGCTGGGACAATCTCAGGCTCCGAGCCGGGGTAAGGGGCCGGGAAGGGAGTCGGGCTGGGCGGCGGGGTCAGAGGGAGCTCCAGGTGAGGCTGGGGGAGATCCCGGTTCGGTAGGGCGGTTGGAAGCCGGGAAGAAGCTCTTTTAAAAGAGGACACGTTCATTTCTGGCTTAGTCGTCTGTCAAGATTTAAGGGGGGCGGGGGAGCTTCTCTCCTCCCCTCAGCCCCGACATACACGATGCTCGCCTTGGCAAGACCTTCCCAGGGACTGGCCCAGTGGCTTCGCGCCACTTCCCAGCTAGGATGCTCGGTGCAGGGAGACAAGAGAGTGGAGCCAGGAGTGGCAGCACCTCTAGCTGGCACGGACCTCTCGCCCCACTCCGAAGCAATCGAAGACGTAGCAAGGGAGCCCAAAGTCGGGCACCAATAGCCAGGGTTTTCATTCCGCTGTCCCGTCGCTCTGAAGCAGTGGCAGACGAGAGAGTGGTGAAGGGAGAAATCGCTCCGTGTGCCACAGGCGGCAGCGGCCGCTCTCGCTCCCCAGAGCTGGCGGGGAGCATTCCAGGCCCGTCCCGCACACTTCGGACCCTGCCCACAGAAGCCAGAAGGCAGAGCGTGGGCCTCCCCCAGATCCTTGCCTTCCCCACAGCCCAGGTCCCGGCCGCTCCAAGAGTTTGCTGGGACCTGGCTTGTCTTCCCCCACCCCACGACCGGGCAAAGCCGAGCAGCACCCACGCCTTCCAGGGGAACATCCCCGGGAAGAAAGCCCGCTCGGTAGCCAAAGACATTAAGCGATAAATATTGCAGCAAATGTGTCCTGCGATGTTATATGCACGAACACACACTCACACGGACACACACGCACACACACACAGGCACGCACCACGCCAAGCTGGTGGCGGTGGTTAATTCCTAATCAGAATGATGGACAGCAGAGACAGAACAATACAAACTAATGGCTGTGTTGCTGATCACTTTACCCCTTGATTAAAGACACCCAATTATGGCGCAGAACAGTGTCGTAATTATGTTCCTTAATCACATCCAGGAGGTTTAATTGCCTTAACGATGTGTTTCATTAAATGAATTTAGGTATTATAGTCGACAGTTTTCATATACAGTTGTTTTCAAATTAACATAATATTAGACATCGTCATGGAAATTGTTTTAATAATCATAATTAGACGCACCCAGCCTTTGTCTAGTAAATGCTGAGAGACGCTTCTCCTTGCGCCTGGGGGCTGATCTGCCCACCCTCTCTGGGCTGCCTTCCCACAGCTCCGTGGCACTTTACAGTTATGTTTCCTGAAAAGTTACAGGTTCTGATTAATCTTTTTTGATGGGAAGTGGAGCAGAAAATATTTATCCCCTTCCCCCGCCTGTGGTGCTGCCGTTGGGAGAGGCGGCTCCGCGGACACCCGGCGCCGACCCGGGCCGCCCGAGGGAGGGGGGACCCGCAGGGCCGGGACCCCCGGCCCGGGCACAGCGCCGGGCGGGCAGCTCTGGGGGCTGCGCGCTCTCCCTGCCCTCGGGTTTGGGGCAGGGCGGAGGGTCCATGAGGGGAGGGGCGGATCCAAAAGTTGGGGGCTAGGGAGGAGGCGGGGGGGCGGTCCTGCAGCTTACCCCGGGGCGCATCCAGCCCCACTGCTCAGGGCGTGAGTGGAGCCGCAGGACGGGCAGGCAGGGCCCGGCGCTGCCCCACGGCTGCCCCGCAACGCCGGGGTTCGCCCGCCACGGGCGCGGGAGAAACACAGTGGGGGCAGGAACTTGTCGCCCCCCTGCCTGGGATACCCTGAGCCGGGAGCGGGCTGCCGGGGGGGTCGGTTCTGGGTCGCATTCAGAGAAAGGCAAAGGAAAGGAAACTACCCACCCCCGCTCTCCACCTCCTTAATTCTGGAGATATATGCTTAACAAAGCACAGCATAATGAAAGCGTTTGTTCAAAATATTTTAATAAAGATTCTTTCCGACATAGATACACATACAAACGATCGTACATTGCTGTCATAATCTGATTGACCTATTTAATATATATCACTCTTTACACATCCGTGACCTGCCAACAGATCCATCATGGCTCCTATTTTGCCATCCAACCTGACAGTCCGAATTTGTATTATCTGCAAGTAGTGGAAAATAGCAGGACTCGTTTTTGAAAAGAAAAAAAAATAAAAAAAAAAATCTTGGTTTACAAATGGCAGAGAGACAGCCACCCAGCCATGCAAACTAAACTGAAGGCTCACTTTGGGTAAATAGCTACTTCTTGCTTTTCATCTCTCATTTTTCCTTAAAAAAAGAAAACCACCCCACCCCCACCCCCACGGAAAAAGAAAAGAGAAGAATTCCACGCGTTTTGTAAATCAGCCTAAAGTATTTTAAAGTATTTCAACTTAAATAATCATCCACAGTCAGAATAATTTACATACACATTAAAAGCGGTTTAAATTATACCTTTGAAAACAGCGCCTGGGAAAACACTGGCTTGGCAAGTGTTCTTGTAGCAGCTATTGCTCTGATGCCTTGTAAAAGTAAATAGCTATTACCTGTTATAAATGCAAAGAATACCCTTTCAAAAATCAGTTGGTTGAGCAATTAAGAATACACTTTTCCTCTAATTTTTGGACTGAAGCAATTTATTAAAGCTCAATTTAAATACAGGGATGATGCAACTTAAAATCCAGATGACCTTTCATAAACCTAAGCAGCTCGGATACATCAACATTTCTGGTTATACGTTGTTGGCAAATAAATGTTTTAAACACTTGGCACACAGTTGAAGTTAATCCATAAACAGAATTTTAGAAGCATTTAAAGTAACTGCACATAAGACCCGTGACCTTAACACATGATAAATATTGTTGGCGTGGAAGGGTCATTTAAAGAATAACAAATAAATAGCATGTCTTGTTTATACATCATTGCAAACTGGAAAGAAACAAGGTGCACATAAATATTTCTTTTAAAAATGCGATACTTTCAGCCACGCGGAGTAGGGGTTTTGATCGGTTATTTTTTGTCTTTTTTTTTTTTTTAACTCTCTCAATTTTAAATCACTCTCACCAAACTTTGCGCATTTTCACAGGATCAAAGTTTAGAGACGATAAAAAATACAAAGTCTTCCATAGCAATGGTCCAGTCTCTTTGTTTCTGTGAGTCACTTAAATAATAAGTTTACATTTCAAGTTTGTTTGTTTCCTGGCTCAGAATAATATTAATAATACTGCTAATAGTAATTAATTAAAAAAAAAAATCTATGTTCAAGTGCCCTCTCTGATTTGTCCCCGGCGATAGCCCCGGCTCCCAACCCGGCCTGCTATTTCCCGGCCTCTCCTTTGTCCGGACGGGCAGCGAACCCCCCGGCGCCCCCCAGGCCGGGCCTTCCTTCCTTCCTTCCTTCCTCCCCGTGGCACCCCTGGCCCCTCGCCCCCTCCCCGCCGCCGCACGCACGCTGCTCCCGTCGCGGTCCCATCCCGGCGGCACCCGAGGAGACGAGCGAGGCGAGTCCGGGCGGAGAGCGGCGGGGGCCGGGCAGCGGTCAGTCCCTCCGCCGCCTCCGCACCCCCCAGCCCAGGACCGGGCCGCCGGCAGTCGCCGCTTCCCGGGGCCGCGGTGGCGGCGAGGGACGACCACGGCGGCGGCGCTTAAGGCTTCTCCGTACACTGTTTGCAGAGGCTGGAGGAGACGCTGTTGAAGATGGCACATTTCTCCGGACAGGAGGTGGCGGGGGGCAGCCCGGCGCTGAAGGGGTAACCGGCCGCCTGCTCGTAGGCGCCGAGGGCGGGGTGCAGCGCCGCCGCCGCTGCCGCCGCCGCCGCGGCGGAGCTGGGCAGGGAGGCGGCCGAGATGGCCTGGCCCTGGTTGAGATAAGCCACCAGGCGCCGCATCTCCTCCAGGGCCTGCGCCTGCATCAGGATGTAGTTCTTGGCCAGGAGGAGCGTGGCGATCTTGGAGAGCTTCCGCACCGAGGGGCTGTGCGCGTAGGGGATGACCGCCCGCAGCTCGTCCAGCGCGTCGTTCAGGTCGTGCATCCGCCGCCGCTCCCGCGCGTTGATGTTGAGCCGCAGCGCCTTCTGCTCCTTGGACTTCTTGCTGCCGCCGTGCCCGTGGGTGTTGGAGCAGCTGCCCTCGGCCGCCTTCAGCCCCCCGCCCCCCCCTCCGCCGCCGCCCGCCGCCGGCGAGGCGACGCGAGGGTCCCCCCCGGCGCCGCGCAGCACCAGCTCGCAGCGGCCGTCGCTGTCGTCGTCGGGGCTCTGCTCGCCGCCGCTGCTCTCGGCCACCGAGCTGCGGCTGGCGCTCTCGCCGTACTTGACGCAGACGGAGCCCGGCGGTAGCGCCAGCGGATCGCCGCCGACGCCGGGCTGCAGCAGCGCCTCGGGCTCCGACGCCTCGTAGCAGGCGAGCGGCGAGGGCTGGCGGTCGCGGGGGTGGGAGAGGTCGAGCCCCGGGGGTGAGCGGAAGGCGGACTCCATGCGCTTGGCCGAGGCGGCGAGGCTCTTGTGGAAGAGGTCCTCTTCTGCGGGCAGACCCAGCGCCCGCTCCATCGGCGCCCCGCTCGCCTCCGCCTCCTCCGCCCCCCTCAACTCCCGGCCCGCTCCTCCAAGGCTCCGCGCCGCGGCGGGCGGCTCCCCGGCGTCCCGCTGGCAGAAATCGTCTCCCGGCTCCCGCCGGGGCTGCGCCGTGCCCGGCGCCGCGGCTGCCCCTTCTCTGGCTCCGGCGGCGGCTCGGACTGCGGCTCCGGTGGCTTCGGCTGCTGCTCCGGCGGCTCCGGCTCGGGCTGTGGCTTCGGCTGTGACTCGGGTTGTGGCTGTGGCTCCGGCTCGCCCTCAGCAGGCGCCGCGCTGGGGCATTGTGCGCTGCCAGTGGAGCCGCTTCCACCGTTTATCTTGCTTGGATTCACCTTCAAGAGATTTCCGGACCCATCAACCAGCAGCCGCCGCAGACGGGGGAGTCTTTTACATCATTATCTCTGAGAGTAGGTTATTATGAAGAAGACTCGCCTGTTGGGACAGAGCTTTCTACCCAATCAGGTTAACGTTTTAATTAATAGGATTAAAACGGTAACAAACAATCCCAGGCACTATCTGGCCCTGAGTCTGAATAGTTTCTTTTCCCAGGTCTGAAGACAGGCAGCAGCTAGAGCTTTATAAGAGGCGCCTGCTCCATTATTCTCCCTGCCATCTGTATACACAGCTTAACGCATATGTTTGCAAGACGTTGTGTCCTGTTAGTAACCCAACAACTGCCTTTAGCTTGACATGTGTGGCGACTTTCACTCATCAATGAGCACACTAAAAGCCCTACTTAGATCGAAGGATGTTCTTTGCCTCCTTCAGCAAATTACAGTCCTGCACTGCAGAAAAGCCCACTTCAACACTTCTCCTTCCGAGTGCTGCCAGCAGACTTCTGCTAACTTAGTCGTGGAGTCAGGAGTGACACCCTCTCCCCCCAGCCCACCCACCCCCTGCATTTACATTAACTTATAGCTCCCTCCCACCCCCACCCGTCTTTCCGAAAAGCATCGCCTGGGAAATAAAAAAATAAATTAACCCCCCAGGAGCAAGCCCAGCCGTCGTGCCCACTTCTGCCTACCGCCAAAGTCCACCTTGCTTCCCTGGGAGGCGGGTGGTCCCCAGTCCTCCCTCTTCCCCACTCCCCTCCACCCCCCCTCCACCAAACGGAGACCAAACTACGGGGAGGTTCCCCTCCTCCTTTCCTTATCCCTTTCCAAGTAGCAGATTGCTGCTTGCGAGTGATTATCCCCCGTGTCCCTATAAAAAACATAAAGCCCCATCAGCTACCTTGAAAATGAACGGATCTGGGGAGGAGAGAGGGCGGGGAGAGAAAGGGCAAAACCCACCAAACTTTTTTTAAATTTATTTTTAATTGTGACTGACCAACTCTTTGCGGCTTCGTGCCCTCCTGCCTCCCTCCGGCAAGCCCAGCTCGGCGGGAGCACCCTATTCTTCTTTCCAACGTCGGGATGCCGCCGACGGTGTCAGGGCGAGGCGACCCCACTATCCGGTTACCCTGGCCCTCTGCTCCACTCCCGGGGCTTCTCCTCTGAGCCGGGCACACGCTCCTCTGCGCTCTCCCAGAAGATGCAGTGGAAACCCTGGAGTCGGTCTGAATTTTGTCCCACTGCTCCTCTGATGCTTGAGGCGAGCAGCTCGGTCTCTCCTTACTGGTAGCACTCAGAGTATTTAGTGGCAGGTTTTCATTCTAATGACATCAGTAAAAACAATATTTCCCAACACTTCCAAATCATTCTTATGTGGCAGGATTACTGAAGGCTATGAAATTCTTTGGTTTCTCTGGTTTCATTAAAAACCTTTTAATTGTGTCTTTCGGAGTTGGCCCCAGGTGTTGGACTCTTTTCATTACATTTTGCTCTAATGTGATGAAATTCTAATTCTCTCCTTACCATATGGTTAAATTTCCCCACTGAGAATTAGTTGAAAAAGGAGAAATAATCTATTAATCTCTGTAATAGATTCACAAATGAGGTTTGCCACAGAACCCGTTTTTGAATGGTAATATCAGAACAGTTGGGTGCCTTGTTTCAGGAAAGAAAGGGCCAGGCGACAACAGAAAACGTTTGAATTTTCACCTGGAAAGAATGAAAAGAAGCCAAGCTGCAGATTTCAGAGTAATTGACTGAGATTTCATCTAGCCAGGACATGACTACAATACAGACCTTCCTCACCTCGTGTCTCCGGATCAGGGGCGAACATACAAGCCTAGCCCTCCGAAGGGGGGGTGGGGGTGTCTCACCTCCCAGCCCCATTTGGCTGCTGCGCTTGTCCCTGGTCGCCGTCCAAGCGCACAGTCACCGAACGCCTCGCTCCCCTCCCCCTTTCCAAGGGATGGATGCCACCGTTAACCTCTATCATTATTAATCCAAAGGCATTTTAGGTTTATTGTTTTTCAATTAGCAACTTCATTTTCCCCGGGATCATAAAAAAAGTGCTTTATATTCTCAACAGAGGGTTAGAGGTTTTATTATTATTGTTTAGTCTGTTTAATATCCAACTTGTAAAACTCATGTGGTCACTTAAGGATGACGAATACTGTTATTATAATTTGATGGCTAGTGGGAACATTTCATTCCCTTCAGCTTATTTCTTCGAAGACAGAGGTCTCTGGCTCGATCTGATCTGTGGGTTCAGTAGCTCTATCTCCCCCGTTTTTATGTGCAACTTTGGGGACGGCGTACGCTGCCGCTCCGCAGGCGGTGGGGCTGGTTGTCCCGGGACTGCGGCCCCGCGGTTGCTCCGAAGGGCGAGGGGTGCTGCCGGGCCGCGCCGTCGGGAAGGGGGGACAAGGGCACCACGGCGACCTCCGCGGCAACCTTCTCTCATCTTCGGCTGCCTTCGCTGAGATTTTTCCTCTGCGTCTGATATTTCTCTCTTCGTCAAAGCCTTTCCTGTTCTCCCTGTCCACCGGTCAGTCTGCATGATCTACCCCCGGATCTGTTTGTATGCTTATCCCTGCTTCAGCCTGTCCTTTCAACCACCTCGCTTTTCCTTTTCTGTTCACCCTCTCCTTTCCCTTTCTTTCTGGGTCTGCCCTCTGTTCTTGAGACATGGATGTATCCCAGTCATCTTGGCGATGCGTTTGTCTGTGACTTGTGCTCTAGTGACGCCAACTTTCTTACAAACTTTTAGCTTGTGTGGGGTATGGGAGGGCGTAGGGAGAGCAAAGTGGAGCAGAGTAAAAGAGAGCCCCTCTTGCCTCCCCCTGACCTGCCTGTGCCCGATTAATAGTCTACGAGAACTTTAGTTTGGAAGCAGGCAGAGGAATTTATAGACGCTTTAAATGCGGGGCTTATAAACATACCGAGGAATGGTCTTTAAGGTTTATGCACTCGTAAACTTTTGCTGATTGCTTCTGGGAAGTTGTCAGGCATTTAACACTGCGTTTATCTTACAGGGCAATGAAAACACATCTGCCCAGCGTCTCGTTACCTGGTTTAATTGTACCGCAGCCCTCCACCACCGGCTCCTCCGCACTTGGGTCATTATTTCGGGAAATGAGCAGCCCGGAGCCGAGCTGCAGAAGGACTGCGCCGGCTCGGAGCATCCTCCAGGATCCGCCGTGAGCGGCCGGGCACGGGCCGTCCCGTGGGGTGCGGGAGGCAGGGGAAGGGGGGAAATGAGGCTGGAAGTCCCAGGATACAGATGACAGCGGATAGCACGGCGATTGCTGATTTTCCGAGGCGTCTTTAGCAATATCTACTCGGGAGTTATTTTGTTCTGCTTCTCAGGTATGAGAGAAGTTAAACCTCCCTTTCCCTCTTCCCAGGGTTGGGTTTGCTGAAAAGCCTCCGAGATTAAAGACACTTCCCAAATTTTCCCTTAAGACGCCCAGGAGCTGAATGCAGACAGATTTTAGTCAGGTGAAGTCAGCCTCTCCCTGCCAGCTCTGGGCAGAGGCACGGCGTGTGCCCGCTGCCGCAGGACCGCCCCGCAGCAAGCGGAGGGCTTGGGATCTCCCATAACTTCCCGGTCTTTCTTCCAGCGGCTCAGTCTCAAGTCTGTCCTGCCTCAGACACGCCGAGCCAGAGGGAGAGCAGAGCCGGGCGCCGAGCGTCCCATGCAGAGGAGACAGCCCCAGCTGCAGGGTCTACCCGGCTTTTCCAGCGCTAAGTCAAGCGTCGGAGAGCGCTTTCGTTCGCCGCGACTGCTGCTGTGCAGTCTTCCCCATGAGACAAACTTTATGTAAGTTCAAGGTGAAGAAAATACAGTTAAAAATAAACAAAACTACGCCCCCATTGCATTTTCTTCCAGCGCAAACATCCTCAGAGATGCCTGTCTGCCGAGAAGCAGCCTCAGAGGCCGCTGAACTCCCAGCCTGGGAGCTGTTCCCAGCAGCAGGCAGGGGCCCGGCAGCCCATCGGAGACTCGGGGCCGCAGGGAAGAGGCCTGCAGGGGAGGAGAAGGGGGAAATGCTCTCAGCCCTCGGGACGCCCGACACAGCATCCTGCTTCCCGGCGCCAGGGGTAGCGGGCAGGGCGGTGGGACTTGGCGGGTGCGGGTGTGCAGCCCGGATGGGGAGGGATATTTGTGTGGCTAGGGGCTGCAAAACTCCCTCCATTTCAGGTCCGTAAGAGGAGGAGAAAAACGGCGTTGAAGGACTTGACTCACAGCGCAGCGGAGTTGGAGGCTTTTTGGGCTGAAGGATGTTACCCTGACACCCCGGCCCTGCGCCTCTGGAGGGACCGCTGGAGACGGGAAGGAAATTCTGGAGGAATTCAGAGAGGTCAGGGACACCTGAGGATCCCCACGGAGTCCGGCTGGGTGTCTGGTGGGTCCTCTTCGGGCCCCGCGGGGACCTACCAGCCCCAGCCCCGGCCCCGGCCGCTGCGCTCCCGATCCAAAATCCACAGCACCATCTCCTGGGCAGCGGGAGAAGTGCATGGCCCGCCTCGGAGGCGGCCGGGCTGGTGGCGACGGTGGAGGGAAAAGACTGATGTGGGACTGGAGCCATTGAAAACTACATGAAAATGTAAAAAAGAAATTACATGGAAATGTGAACATGTTTTGGCATGGGGAGATTAATAATTCCTTTGGTGTCCCTTTTGGAGCTGAAGCCGGTGGATTGATGTCTGTGCTTGGACAAGTGTCAGTAGGTTCTCCGTAGGTGTTGTCTGTCCAATTACGTAGATACACTAGTAACTATATGTACTTGAAACACATTAAGGATGGAAGAACCTGATGCTGTCCCAGTTTCAGGGACAACACAGAGTGTATAGGTAGTGACAAACTCACCAAGGCATTACACTGAGGTTTGCGGAGAAAGACTTCCTTTCTGACCTGTCCCCCGAGAAGCCTCTTTAGGCCCTCCAAGCCATTTTTCTCCTCATACATCTGGTTCCCCACGTGTGTACACTTCTGCTTTGGCCAAACCAGGGTTACTGCTGTAGCTCTCCTTAGCAACCCATTCCCTGGATTGACAGAGCTGCTGGTTATGCTTATTTTTCTACTTCAGCCTGAACTCTGTCTCACATAGCTCTGTCTGAGTGCTCTGTTCTTGTTTCCAGCTCTCAGAGTAAGTCCTCATTCTTTCCACTCCTTTCAAACACAGCCCAAGAAATGTCTGGGTGGGTCTCAGAAAGAGCAGAGCCTAGAGCTCTGGCCATGTACACCTAATATTTACTCCCTGTCCAGCTTTCACTTTCACTCCTGACCCTATTTTTTTTCTACTGGAAACTTCCCACTGTAAGGAACATGGCACTGAGCTTATTCTTCCCACCCTTGTTGGACTAGGCTATAGATGTCTATTTTCAGTTAATATTTCATTGTCAAACAGTTTCTGTAGGCCTTTACTTTTCCTTCCATGCTTCTTGAACTCCATCCAGTTCACTTTTATTGGTACTGAAAGTACTTAAATCTGAAAGCAGTAGTCGAGGTGCTATCTCATCAGTATTGTATACTCAGAGAGACATCTATCACTTCCCAGGTATATGACACGATGCCTCTGTGTTAGAAGCCCAAAAATTACATTGGATTTTTTTTTTTTTTTGGTCACACTGCTAGATCCTATTTAATTTACTGAAGTTCATAGATAAAAATCTATATGTTAGTAGGCCTGTATATTATACCTACTGTATTCCCTTCAGTCACCACTTTGCAATTATAGGAAGAAAAAAATACTTTTGCGTGCCTTCCTTCCATTCCTTATAAATCCATGCTGTTTATTGGTTGTGGATCCATTCTCCCCTAAGTGCTTAAGATTTTTACCTTTTAATATTTTTTCCACTATATTACTGCAGTCTGAAGTTAGGCTTACCAGATGGTAGATGACAGGTTCACTCTTTCTCTTCCTTTACCCGTGTAATTTTTGAAGACCAGTAACATGCTCCCCTATCTTTTCAGATACCTTAGAGCTCACTAATTCTCCAGGAACATTTTAAAATATTGTCAGTATTTTGGGTAAGTTCATTAGTTAATTCCCTTTCTTCCCCATGTTGCACATCATAAGGATATGCTCAGTTTCCCATCCTTAGTTTTCCCTCCCACAACTTTCCTTATGACCTTCTCTCAACAATCCTAACTACAAGGTTGTTTTTCTTAATTGTACTTTATTTTTGCACAAAAATTACAATTTAGTACTTCTGCTAATTTAGAATCATCGCTCCTTTTGTTGTCTTCTTTGTAGAATAACAAATCTCTTTTATTCCTATTCTCCCTTCTTCCCCTTGTAATTAAAAGATCAGTTTAGAATCTATACACATCTAAGTAGTTGCTACATTGAAAAATGGAGGTACTATCATTTGCAATGCTGTTATATGCTATAAATAAGGCAATTTTATATGTTTAATAACTTATCATGGGCATAAAATAAAAAAATGTGCTGAAATACATTTCAGGAAGAGTCAAAATCCATATATTAACCAGTTAATTTTTTTTTCTCAAACTATTCCTATATTTCAACTATTTTTGAAGTAAAGTGTAAGGTCATTTCCCATTACATCCCTTTAGTTGCCATCATAAGTAACAAGAAAGAACAAAGAATTTCCTTCCTGGATTACTTCTGCTAAATTCATACTTTAATCTTTTGGTAGATGATGTTTTTCAAACACACTCAGATGTCTGATTGTCAGCTTTATGTCCCAGGAAGTATTCCCAGCAATTCAGGTACAGTAAAGTATCTACCTCTAGCAAGTCTCTGTGTACTATATAACTTTTATAGTCATTATAAAAGTAATTTATTGAAAAAACTTAAACCTTTTCCAACTCAACTGACTTTTGATTTAAGCGTGTGTGCTCCTGGTTATGGTAATCAGGTGTGGTAGGTGCTTTTTTCAGAATTAGGTTTGCTGTTTATGTCACAAAGTTTAGAAGCTCTGAGAGTAACATCCTCTAAAACATAGCATGCTCACAGAAGCAGAGATATCAGCTCATGTTTCACTGTTACAGTCCCTGGAATTGCACATAATACAAGGTAGGAGAACTTTTCCCATTTTTAGATCACATTTTTTTCCCGTAGTTGTTATTTCTATTTGCCTTCACTGGAGTGCAAGACAGTACTGACTGTAGACTGGCTCTGGGGAAATAGCATGTAATAAAAAGGGGGAGGTAACATTCCTTCCTTCCCTCCTTCCTTCCCTCCTTCCTTCCTTCTCTCTCTCTCTCTCTCTCATTCTCTATCTTTCTCTCATTCTCTCTTTCTCTCTCTTTCTTTGTCTCTCTCTCCTCCTCTCTTTTTCTCCTTCTCTCTGGTCAACTGGCTGACTGGCTTCCTGACTTCCTATCTGTCTTTCTCTTTCTCTCTTTTTCTTTATTACTTCTTTTTCTTTCACTTGCTCCCTTACTTTTGCTTTCTTTCTTGCTTGCTTGATATACATATGGCCTTGCTTAATTTTAAAAGTGACAGGACTGTTTAATGACAGCAACGATCATGACCAAGAGGAAAGCTCCTTGCAGCAGTGCATAGCTCTGGTTAGCACTGTGACACTCACTCACAATATTTTTAAGCCAAACCATTGCAATGGCATTTGAACTTGCTTTTCGATCCAGAGAGGAAAACGCTGCCAGCTATGGTCCCAGCCGTTCACTGACTGTATGGTGCAAGCTAAAGCACTCGACCTCACTGCAACCTCAAGGACAAGGAAAGAAAAAGCAGGGAGGCATCAGCAAATGAGGTACAGACCCCGCTGAACTCCTGAGAGGCCCAGCTGCTGAATTCTGACATCTGAAGAGTCCTACAGCACTTTGGTGTTGCTCAATTAGTCCTTTGCTCAAACTCAGAATTAGCACACCCACGACCAGAGCTCAGCCAGAAACCAGGGTGGGGTAAGGACAGAGGCCAAATGCTACCCATAGAGAAAAACCCCATACAGTCCAGTTTTGTGAGGAACTTTGGCTTTCAGAGTATTTTGCAACACAACCTCCATTGCCAAGAACAGTCCAAGTACCACAAAGCTTACACACAGCTTCCTTTCTGAGAGTAAGACTGAGTGACCAGAGAATGCTTGAGGGCTGACAAAAGCTTTTAGCATCCTTAGTTCTGTCTTAGGCTGTCACAGAGATTTACTGATGTTTCCTTTGCAGACTGATTTGATTATTCCAGGAGAGGACTCCTGGAGCAAGGGGTTCCGTGCACCTGCAGGCTGAATCCACCAAGGTGACAAGTCATCTTTGAAAAGGCAAGTTTGCATGGAGATTTGAACATATTTCAAACTGATTTACTTCGTTATTGTTCCATTTCTCTCACTGGTGAACCACTTGGACAATGGTTAGATTTATTTGAGTTTAAATGGGCATGAAAACAAATGGCGAGGCTGGAGGCAAAGATAGGTGCATCTGATCTACAAAACATGTAAGATTACATCTGGGAACTTGTGAGCTGAGGTACTGTCAGGCAAAGGCCATAGGCAGCCTTTTCACGTCCCTGGCCCCATACACACCTCCATGTAACATCAGACCACGTTAACACAGGAAAGAAGCTTTGTTTAATGTAGTGGTTGATTCCCTACTTCTCGTCAATAACCCTGAATTAAAGTGAAGAATGGCATGCAGTTTTTCCAAGAGGTGAGTTCATGGAGGTCAACCTTATACCAGTCTGATTGGCCATTGGACTCAGAGAGACTTACGTTGGAACAGTCAAAAGTTCCCTGAGACACATTTTTTAGATTACCAAACAGGGTGTGGGATCTTCCCTGCCTCCCTCTCTTAACTGTGACCATAGGAAATTATGCAGGAATTTCCCAGTGTAATAGCAGAAGTTCATGCATGGGAAGAATCTGTACCGAAGTGCTCATACACCACAAGATTTAGGTACCATTTTTGGTGATAGATTCAGAATTATGCCATCAGTGTGAGACCAGGCACAGTAAGAAGCATGGACCCTGCAACACATTGTTATCATATTCACACTGTTGATTCTGATTCTCTGATAAAGTTAATTGACTGAGTCAGGGCAAATTTGCTCCACACCTGCTCTGGACAGAGCAAGCTCAACCAGCATCTAATCAATCACTCCCCCCAGGAAACTGGCACAAACAGTGCTTGTTCAGCCAGTGCCAGCCGCTGAACTTGATGGCACTGGTGCAATCCCAGGGTAGGGCTGTGGGATGTGCAAATGGCTCCACATCAGAATCTTACCCCAATGCCCTTTATTTTTTTATCCTGTAAAATACACATTTCTCAAGCCTTTCTATTAACTCTGCTAGTCTCAATGCCATTCAGTCAATGCTCTGGTAGCATTTCCTTACAATAAAGTGTATTTTATTGGATTTGGGATCTGTCCATTGTTGAATTGGTTCTAGGATGGACCAAGGGAGGATCTTTTCCTCAGGGGTCCATACTCAATATCCTCATCCAATGGCCTTCAGCAAGGAGAGATGGCTACACTTTGCTCTGTGAGTAGGGTGTTTGGGCCAGGAGTCCAAGGAACTGTGCCCTGCGTTTTCTGAATTTACTCATCAAGAAATTCACCCTAGATAGGGCTCTTTTAGGAATGGTCATTAGACACACATCAAACCTACCTCATCTTTTATTTCTGAATATTTCTGATCCCTTTAACCTGTTTTGCTCTGCCCTCCTGTCTGTACACAAAGCATTCCATCCAAAATCCATGCCCCTTCTCAAAGGGAATATGTATTTAAAGGCTCTGGCACAAGCCTGTGGGAACCTGTGGTTGTCCTACACAGTGGTTCCCAGTGCATGGTACAAGGAGCAGTTGGACCGAAGCCCCGAGAGGAACAGAGCTCTGCCAGCCCCCTGAAATGTGGTTATGACATGGGATACGACAGCCTTGGCAAAGCTAGGATCTTGAGTCAGACAGAAGACTGGTTAAAATCTCCAGCAGAGCTGAAACTGTTCCCAAGGCAGCTGCAGAACTTTAAACTCTGTGTTTGCAGAGTGGGTGGCAGGAGAAAGGAAGGCAGACAGCAGCAAACCTTACAAATGACAGGGTTTACTTTTGAAGCACTTAAATGTGTTACTGGCTTTTAGTTAGCAGAGAGAAGAGCCTGGAGCCTAGGACCCTTCCTTTGGAGTTAAGTCAGACTACACCACAAACTGAGCAGAAGAGGGATGTGCATCGAGCTCAAAGGTATTTTGACGAGAAGAACAGCAGCAGCAATAGCAGCTGCAAAAATTGTAATGCCCTAAATGGTCAACTCCTTAGCAGAAGGTAAATAGATTGCAAAGTAAAATAAATCATAGGAAAGACCATTTAAGCATTTGAATCCTTTCAGTTCTATGTTTACACCCTGTAGCTGCAGAACCTCATCCTATACTAAATGTGGGTTTGCTAAGCAGCTCCCTAAGCACTGTAGGATCAGGAGCGTCAACTAGGACCAGTGGGTACTCAAGGAGTTATTGTGGTTTGTGCCCTGTCTCATGATAACTTGCCTGTGTGCCCAGAAGTTCAGTCAATAAAAAAGGAGGACAACTGATATTTTAGACTGGATTCTGACAAACAAACCTGGGCAGGGGCAGAAACAATGCTATCAGCCCTCCTGTCCTCACCCCTGCTCTGATGGGCACAGCGGTGGTGTGCTTGTCTCTGGGCTGGGCTCTGAAGGCTTTCACGAAGGAGTTCAGCTGTCCCAGCGCATTTAATTCCTTGAACATCTGTTGTCTGTCTGCTACAGGAAAGATGGTGGGCCAGATGGGAAATCCTAGTAGCTGCATTAAGCCTGGGGGGCACCTACTACATCGTTCTCAAAGATGATTTGAAAATGATAGATCACATGACCCGAACAGCTTTCATATAAAAGACCTAATGTTACTATAAAAATAAATAAGGTGCCTTTTTAAAAAAAATATTTGTTTTGTGAGGGAAAGATGTTAATACAGTAAGAGGAAAAAGTAAGAGATATGCTCACTAGAGATTCAGTAGGTAGACCACGCCTCTAGGAAAAGGAAAATAAAAGGCAGACAGCGAGCCTGGGCTGTGCACACTGTTCAGTTGCTAGTACACACCCTGCCTCTGCTTTCAACCATTCCAGCCAGCTACTTCCAAAACAGTTTGGGAAGAGTGCAGTCTGGAGAATGAAGGGATTGAAAGCAGCCCTGTGGAGAAGGACTTGGGGATCCTGGTGGATTAAAAACTGGACATGATCTGAAAGAACATCTGCAGCTCAGAAAGTCAGCTTTATCCTGGACTGCATCACAAGAAGCGTGGCCAGCAGGTTGAGGGAGGTCATTCTTCCTCTCTACTCTGTTCACATTAGACCCCACAGAGAGTACTTGTCCAGTTCTGGGGTTCTTAGCAAAGGAAGTACATGGACCTGTTGGATTGAGTCCAGAAAAGGGTCACTAAAATGGTCTAAGGGGAGGAACTCCTCCCCTATGAAGTGAAGCCAAGAGAGTTGAAGTTGTTCAGTCTGGAGAGGAGAAGGCTCTGGGAAAATGTTATTGCAGCCTTTAATTACTTAATAAGGGCTCATAAGGAAGATAGAGAGAGATGTTTTATCAAGGCCTGTAGTGACAGGACAGGGGACAAAGGTTTTAAAGTGAAAGAGGGTAGATTTAAATTGGGCATAAGGAAAAATTTTTTGTGAAGAGTGTGATGAGTCACTGGAAGAGGTTACCCACAGCAGTTGCCTAGTTGCCTCTGGAAGTGTTCAAGGTCAGGTTCAAAGAACTTTTCAGTAACCTGCTGTAGTGAAAGATGTCCCTCTCTGTGGCAGGAGGGGTTGGACTAGGTGGT